TGCTCAGATAAGCAAGTTAAGCAGGTTTCTTTATTACGGGACATCTCAGAGCCTTTAATAAGTTCATGTATATTTTAATTCCCCATGGGACAAAAAGAGTGTGAAGCGTTTTTTAAACATATTTGCTCACCATCTGTGACGAGCACTTTGATGCACCAAACAGCCATCCCCTGGCCCCTGCCCTTTCTTGTGAACAGAACTCTGATTTTGTTTGGGCAGCAATGTTGTCAGCCCCAGGCGATGAATCAGGATCAGCTCTATATCAATCCTGGCAACGCTGTCCCTTTGCGAAGTACTCACTTCCCCGGTGTCCCTCCCAGCTGAGTGGCTGTGACCACGTGATCCACTGTTGGTCAGTGGGCCACAAAGGGAAGTCAACTTGGAGGACTGGGGAGGTTTTCTCGCCTGATAAAAGGATCTAAGGACTTCTCTGCTTCCCCCTTTCTGACTTCTTGCGATGGTCACACACGCTGGTGTCATACGGAGCTGTGGCTCTGGAAGTCTTAAAACATGGCACCGATTCTTTAATGGTCCTCCCACTGAGAGGGGGCATCTATGCACTGATCTTGTGAACCTGGCAGGCCTGTGACTGCTCTGACATCAGAGTACAGAAGGGATGCGCCATATGTCTTCCAGAGCTGGAACCTTGCGTTGGAGCCCTGAGCTTCCATGTAACATCCCGATGATCCTGAGTTGGCCAGGCTAAGAAACCCAAGCCACAGAAACAGGTCAGGTAGAGGCGCTCCAACTGATGGTCTCTACGGAGATTGCCCCTAAGTCAACAGACGTTTGAATAAAGAAGTCTCTATAAGGTTCCAGTGTCCAGCTGTCCAAGTCCTCCCAACGAAGTCCCCAGAAATTGTGGAGCAAAAAATCACCCACCCCCACTGTTCCCTGCGCCTGAATTCCTAATCCACAGAATCTGTTGGCATTACAAAATGGTTGTTTTGACACCCTAATTGTTGGGGTGATTTGTCATATGGCAACAGGTAATCAGAACAGACTCTATCTCCCAATCCCAAGGAAAAAGCCAAGAGGATCACAGAGATACTGACCTAGAACCCCACCTCCTCCAACCCATTGCACCACCCTCAATGCAGACTTCTTCACATGGGAAATGATTGCATACCTTGATTGCTTAAGCCACAGTTACTCAAAAGCACCCCTAGATGATACGCCATGCTGCTGCCAGGGTCCCAGATGCGGGTCAGAGTTCCCATCCTCTTTCCCACAGGCTACCGCACCAGCCAATTGGCTAGTCTTTCCATTGCTGGCCTTTCCTGCCCTCCACGAACTGCCACCAGAATGACTTTTCCTAAAACACACTCTGATCCCAGCATTTCCTTGCTTAACACCTTCAAAGGCTCCCCGTCACTTTGCAGCAGTTCATAACTGGAGAGGCAAAAGAATCATTCCAAAAATCTGAAAGTCTAAGCCATTCCAGGCCCTCGGAACGAGGCATGTGGATGGACAAAAGGCTCCCCAGGTGATTCGGAGGGGCAGCTCTAGTTAAGAACCACTGGGGCCTTCTCTCACCTTCCTCTCTCCCCTGCTGTGCTCCCCTAGGACCTATTGACATTTGTATTATTGTGACTCACCAGATAAAGAGCCACCAGAGGGCAAAGGACCCTGTCACACAGAATGTTGTTAGCCCCAGCCCTTAACACACTGTGTGGAAGACAGTAAGCACATGTATATTCTGTTGAATGGACGAATGAATATAGAAGAATAAGCCCCTAATGTTTCTGCCTTCTAGGCAGGTCCACTTCCTTCGAAAATGTGTTCTCGCTGCCAACTGAGCAAACAGAGCAAAGAAAATACAAACAAGCACAACTTAGACAATAATCCGAGGTTTATCATCTACCAGCCCCTGGCTTAATCATCTAAGGCCTGGAGACCCAAGGGCCAATTTTTTTCTCTAACAGCTGAGAAGCTGGAGAAACCATTTGAGTTTTACAGTGCAGTGCACATTTTGGAAAACGTCCTGATCCCGTGACTTCACCTGCACCTTGCACGTACCTTTCTGACGGGGTTGTGATTCATACACTCGGTCCTCGACAAACAGCCGTGGGTGACCAGCTTGTTGGAACAAGTCCAAAAACAAGGTGTATCGCAAGAGTGCCTATTTAGCTATATTCCTGCAGGATGCACTCGGTGTGTTCCCCAGCCACATATGGGGGGGGACCCCCTCGTTTCCCCAAACCCCATTACCTGGCATGTGCTTTATCCCCCTTTCAAGGCTATTTCCAGACCACATTCCCAAACACATCAGGAATGGAACAGTGAGGACAGCTCAAACAGACTGAAGACATACTTACTGTATGTCAGGTGCTGTGCTAGGTACATCCACATACGTTCTCGGTTTATATTTATAAAACCCAGAAGGTAACACCACTGTTCCTGCTTTAGAGGAAGCTGGGGTTTAGGGTAGTGAAACAACTTTTCCAAAGTTATACCGCTGGTCAGGGCAGTGCTGAGATCCGGACCAGGACCCATGGGAGCCAGAGCCTGCGTGGCCACTTTCCACCATCCGTGGCCACCCTCACCCCCTCCTCCACCTCTGCCCCACTGCAGCATTACCCTCCCGGGGCCCCGTCAGATGGAAAGCAGGGGAGTGACATTTACCTAAGCCCACAGGAGGCACTTTTTGAGTGTCAGCTCCTTTACTCCCCAACAAATCTGCGAGGTGACTATGTTGCTCCCCACTTCACAGACAAGCTCACAGAGACTGAGGGAAGTCAAGGAATGTGCCCGAGATCACACAGTCAGTAGCAGATAAGGAACTTAATTCCGAAGATGATTCTCTCTCCACCCCACCGTGCAGTCCCCTTCTCCACCCGAAATATGACAGGGTTTGGGTTTATTTTTCCTAAATGACAGAAAAGCATCTGACAAGGAGAAAGCAAAAAAGAAAAGCAGCCCTCGAGGTCTCTCTTGTTAAGGCTCCAAAAATGACTACGATCCAGCCAGCACTTTTCTGTTTAGAGAACGCTTTCTGGATGCGTGATCTCATGTTACCGTCACAACGACCTTGAAAGGTGAGTGCTGACATTCCCAATTTCCAGAGCAGGAATTAGAGGCCAGGGGCGTTAAGTGACTGGACCAACATCAACTGCTACGAAATGCTTGAGGATAAACCGAGACCACGTCATGGAGGCCCACCATCTTCCCCCTTCACAAGGGATACTGCCCTTAAGGGTTATTTTTACCTCGCACTGGCTTAGAAGAGGTAAAGCAGGGGCGCCTGGGTGGCTCAGTTGGTTAAGCGACTGCCTTCGGCTCAGGTCATGATCCTGGAGTCCCAGGATCGAGTCCCACATCGGGCTCCCTGCTCGGCGGGGAGTCTGCTTCTCCCTCTGACCCTCCTCCCTCTCATGCTCTCTGTCTCTCATTCTCTCTCTCAAATAAATAAATAAAATCTTTAAAAAAAAAAAAAAAAGAAGAGGGAAAGCACACTTACTGGCAAAGCTGCCTTATCTAAGGTTAGAAGTTCTCTAACGTATCTGCATATCCAGGGCAAGATCAGAACAAGCTACAGTGCCTACAGGGGTCCTCCCTACCCCTGAAAAGGCATTTTCCTTCCAAGATCCACACCTGAAACAGCCCTGGACTCACAAAACTCAAGTGCTCTAGGGTCTCACGGTGACTCCTCGACCAGAAGGACAGACCCACCAAGGGAGAGGGTGGGGAACTGCAGAGCAAGTTCAAGCCAACTTCCCAATCAGGCCAGCACGCACTGCAGTTTGCTCCTACCCGCTAACGACTCCCACAGATGACCTGCCATGAACCGCCAAGCTATTTAGACAAGAGCTAGAGGGCGACTTTCCACATCCACGATCTAGAGATGGGAGGTGCCCACATTCTTCCTGCGGGAAAGAATGTGGCGCTTCTTGTCTTCTTTCCAAAAAAATAAAAAGCTTAAATTTAAAAAAAAAAAAAAAACACACACACAGTAAGATGGCAGAAACTTCCAGGACTGAACTTTTCGTGCTTTTGGTTTGTTTTTTTTTTAAAGATTTTATTTGTTTGACAGAGAGCGAGACAGCCAGAGAGGGAACACAAGCAGGGGGAGTGGGAGAGGGAGAAGCAGGCTTCCTGCAGAGAAGGGAGCCCAATGCGGGGCTCGATCCCAGGACCCTGGGATCATGACCTGAGCCGAAGGCAGACGCTTAAGGACTGAGCCACCCAGGCGCCCCCATGCTTTTGTTTTGAAGGATCATCCATCAGGCACATACGTGTCAGATGCTACACTGAATGCCTTACAAACATTATTCCATAAAATCTTCATAATAACCCTAAGGGGAATTACAGTATCAGTCCCCATTTACAGATATGGAAACCAAGCGTGTGAAGGAACCACCGCAGGTCAGAAGCAGGGCTGAGATTTGAATCCCCTGACACCGTGCTCCACCACTTACCATCGAACAGAGGCGCTCCCCACAAGGACCTTCCAGATCAAAGATTATGCGGGTCTGTAGATGGGGGCAACCCATCTTTGCCTCTGTTGAACTTCCAAAAAAATAAACTAGGTGGTTCCTTAGTGTTTCAGTTAACACTAGAATTAAGTCAAATGGCCTGAATTTTTGGAAACAACAAATCGGATCTATCCGAATCACGGGCCTAAAAACATAATTTTTTTTTCTTTTACACTCATGACTGTGACCCCCACGGTTGATTCTGTATTGAAATCACATAATTTAGGCAAGAAAGGATATCATTAAAATGTTGTCATATAGCATAAAACTTTAAAAACATCTCTTTACATATAATTTACCCTCTGCTGACTTTCTCAGTAAGATTAAAAATCCAGACCCACCCAAGTATGTACTGAAGAGAATCTCCAGGCAACTTCTTGGTCTGGCCACCCCCCACCCCAGAAAAAGACCGACCATCCTCTGCTACCCTTGAAAGAGCCAAGTTTTATTCTTTACACAGTGGCTGTGTTTCCTTATGTACATCCAGGAAAAAAAAAAAAAAAACAACACAGGAAGGTCTCCTACCTCAGCAAAGAACTCATCCATAAAGGCTGTGTTGTCAATAGCAATCTCCACCTCATCGGCATCATCATCCTGTGTCAGCCGCTTCTGTGAGAGACAAAAAGGAGCAGCGTGAGGCTCAGAACACAAGACGCAGGTAATGGTACCAAATACTCACCCGGAGCTACATCTATATTAAGCATTATACACACATAATCTCCCTCAAAACTCTGAACAGCTCTGCAATGCCTCAAACTCCAGCCTCACACTGTCTGCACTTGAACCTAGCTGCACCGCTTACTGACTTTTGGCGGGGGGTGGGGTGGGGGGAGGGATGGGCAAGCTACTGACCTCACTGCGCCCAGGTTTCCTCATCTGTAAAATGCTGACAATGCACTACCTACTTCACGGGGTGGGGTTAAGAAATGAGACAATGAAGCTAAAACATGTTTGCACTGTGCCTGGCATACTGTAAGTACTCAATAAACGCTAAGTTTTGTTGTTGTTGTTGTTGTTGTTGTTGATGTTGGGGACGGTGGGGGCAGTATTATGACTCATTCCAGTTGGAGAACCTAAGACAGAGAGGTTGAGTAACTTGGCCAAAGTCACACAGCTAAAATGTGGAGACAGGCAGATTCTAGCCTGTCTTTTGGATTTGGACCCTATGTTCCTAGCCCCTTCCCCAGAGTGTTCAAATGCGTGATCTGCCCTACCAGAGGTCTATATTAGAACAGTTTCTAGCCTCAGTTCCTCCCCAGTACTCACTTCCAATCCTCACAGTAGGAGCAAAGATCTTCCTGTTTTCATAAACCACCTATTGCAAAAAAACAGCACTGTGTGTTGTTCTCTGTCAGACCTCATGTTTATAAGGAAAAGGAAGCTCTCCCCTCAGCCCCCGGCAACCCCTGGGGACCCCAGCGTTCTTGATCTCATTCCACTTCCTCTGCAAAATCACAAAATGGCTAACTAAAGGAAGTCCTTCATTCCCACCCAGCATCCAGGGCCTGAGCTGTTTCTACATTCTCCCCAGCTCTGCACGACACATTGACCATTTCTAAGCACAGAGGGAGAATGGGTTCTTGGGAGTAAAGGTGGGGAGTGGGAAATCCCCTACACCTGCTTCTCCATGACATCCAGTGGGCTTTCCAAACCAAGACGTGTCACTCTTCAAACACTCAGAATGCCACAGGCCATGAAAGCCTGCCACCAACCTCCCCCCAACACACAACCCCATCTCCAACAGAGGATGGAATTACTGGGAATTCCCACTGAAATTTGAGACTCTCATGATGGGAAGAGTCTGTTCTGACTGGCTCCCCCATCATGTCATTCTCTGGCTTGTCTGGAACCATCAGCAACCCAAACTTAACAGCCACATTCAAAGAAACTGAATTTGAGGGCAGTGTTACAACCCCCGAAATCGACTTCCTCAAAAGTCATTCCTTCTGTTCATCTCCTCAGATTAAAAGTCCCCATGCCTAATAGAGCACAGAGGCCCCATTAAGGTCTCGTCCCACCCATGCTCCTCCCTCTAGGATGCACTCTCCAGACCAGACAATTGCAACTCCATTCTTTCATCTGCTTAACTGTCTGTCACACAAGGACCAGCTGGAAAATTTTACTTAGCCTTTAAAATTCAATCTCAACACCATCTCTTCTGTCTGCCTTCCCTGACACTTCCCCCTCCTGCAAAATTTAAAACCTCCCTAAGGTCCCAATGCATTTAGTGCAAACCTTCCATAGCATCCAGCACAGCCTACTGTTAATTATTCCTTTACTTATCAATCTTCCCCCACTGGCTATAAACCCCTGGAGGGCCAGGGTCGCCTTATCTACTGTAACAGCTACTCTCAGTGCAAGCTCCTGCCCAGAACACCTTCCTTTGTGTAGATAACCTTCCCAGAATTGTGTGGGGACAGTGAAGGGGATCAATCTGGACCCAAGCTCCCTGAGGAATTTGAATTGCAAAGTGAATGGAGTGGGTGGCAGTGCCCAACAGAGATACCTGCTGGTTTTGCAGAGCCACCCTTGCCTCTACTCCTCCGAAGCCCGAAGCCGCCCCTCCGCTTCCAGCAGGTTCCACAGACCGACCTTCCCAGCACTCTTCCAATGAGTTGAACAGTATTCTTCTAATGTTTCAAAAAATCCGTTTCGGAGGAATTGGCTCTTGTCACTCATTCCATGTGCACACGGAGCACTTACCATGGGCTAGATATGTAAGGGAAATGGAATCAATTTTAGCTGACTGAACGACTAGCCTCCGCAGAGACGGCAGTAAAGTGGAGACAGGGCGCTCCTCTTATCAACTATCATTAGTACATGGGCCTCTTGGCAGCCTCCAGAGAGCTCCATGTCCCAGGAAGGATCTCTGTGACTCTCCCTGGAAAACAGGGGCCCAGTCTTCCTCTGGGAAGGTGAGTTAACAAGTGTTTGTTGAGTTTCCTCTCTACAGACGTCTTGGAAGTGGGATGAGGCTACCATCCTGGGATGGACTGAGGGAAGATTCTGGAAGCTGGGAACAGCTGTGTCCTGGAGCATGGAAGGCAGGCACCTTGCTGTCAGTCATGACATAAATCTCTGAGACCCCTGGAATTTGTACAGGGTGCCCCCCAATCCGAGACGTCACCTCTTAGCTTGGAGCAGGCTCTAGGGGGGCAGCCTGCTCCATCTTCAGTGAGAGAATGTGTGAACCGGGAAAAGCGAAGTCTGGAAACTCACAACCTAGGTCTAAGACCTGTTGTTACCACTTACTCGTTGCATTTACCAGACACCTTATGACATTTATGGGCACTGGAAGACACCACATACGGAAGGTTTCTAGCACAATACTGGGCACACACCACTGCCTAATAAATATCAGTTTCCCTATCACCTTGCCATAAAGACATGGTGTCTAAAAGAGTGAGTTCTCCTCCTTCTAGGAAGTCCTCACGCTAATGGCTAGGAAAGTAAGATCGGCTCCAGAGCATCATGACAATTTGGGTTCCATAACTCACTTCATCATATACCGGTCGCGGAGCCTTACACAACTGATTTAACATGTCTGAGCCTCAGTTTCTTTATCTACAAAATAGGGATAATAGTGCCTACCAATGCTTTTGTGAGAATTCGATAATATTTTAAGTTCCTTAGGCCATGGACAGCACGTAGTTACAACTCAAAAACACGGCCGTATAGAAGATCTAGCCAACTTCTCTACAGCTTCAACCTGGATCTAAGTACCTTTAAATAGGAAAGGGAAAAAAAAAAGATACAGGGCTTTTAGAGTTGAATGCAACCTTACAGATTCTATCATCCAACTGGCTCACTGAGAGATGGGCAAATCAAGGCCCACAGCCAAACACTGAGTTTCAGACCCGCCAGGGATAGCACTCGGGTTTCTGGATCCCCATCTTCCCACGCAGAGTCTCTTGCACTGCGCTGTGCAAGAATTAACACCAGTGATGACAGCACATGCTTTAGTCCAGAGAATCCAAGCTAGAGGCCGTTATCACGGGGATCTATCCGGAGTCTCAAGACATGGGGACTCCCACCAGGCTTCTGCACTGGGGGATCTAACTGATCCCAGAGAGACCCCCTCATCCCTTCTGACTCAGCCCGGAGAGCCCAAGGGCAGGGAAAGCACGCAGCACCCTTTCTCTTCAGCCCACATGACTGAGCACAGCCAGGAAAAGAACTTCAGCATCTTTATCAAAGAATCAAGGCGTGTGGCAACAGGAACGTTGCAGCAACTGCAACATGGGGCCGCAGCAGAAACTCTTGAGAACCACAAGCCGGCCACTTCCTTCCCCTCCCCCAAGGCCCAGCCTCCTGCTGCCCCCGGGCCACAACCCCCCAGGAGATGGGAGATCTGCCAGGGGGCAGCGCTGAGTCTGTCACCCATCCCTGCCACCCAAATGGGCCCCACAGTCCCGCGGAGGGAGCCGTGACCACGACCTCCTCTCTGCAGAGTGGGGAGAGTTCAGGGGCCCAGAGCACAACGTGTGGGGGCCGAAGCTCTAATTCCTCTCACTCCACACTAACTGCCTTCTCTGTCAACCTTAGTCTATTTGACTTGGGTCCCCCTCGTTAGCTTCTTTAATAAAAACATTTGCCAGCCGCAGAGCCCCGACCAGACACCCCAGCTGCTTCACGTTCGCCCTGTCAGTGAGCCCCGTCTATGTTTCACAGTTGAGGACCTGCAAGTCATGGACGTTCTTCTAAGTTCCCCGGGGTCTCCCAGCCTCTGCTTTGCAGAGTCTAGGCTCAAGCCTGAGTTGTCTGTCCAATGCCCTTGTTATTCCAGCACCCCTTCCCAAAGCAGCCTATCGCCCAGAGCAACCAAGAGCCACGGAGAGCAGCTGGGCGCTTGCTTGTCTCATTAAGCCTGGGTTTTCTCACCAAGTAAGGAGCTTACCTCTCCAGTACGGCTTTGTGGAACCCCAGGACACTCGACATGTGCCCCCCAGAGCGCCCAGGGAAGCCAGGGAGGGGGAGTCAGGGAGGCGGGCCCTTCCCTACTCTTAAATCTGCACAGCTTCCCTTTTATCTGCTTTATACACCGGGGCTGAATGTAACATTTCACTTGAAGAAAGAGTCCTGATGTCAAAAAAGAAAGGAAGAAAAAAGGAAGCAAGTAAGCAAGCAAACGAGCAAGCTTAGCTAGCCAGGAAACCCCAGGCCTCAACAAATGGATGCCTTCTAGAGAAGAGAGATAGAGAAAGAAATCCCCTCACTCCTTCCAGGTACAAACTTCCAGTTATAAAATAAATAAGCCACAGGCATGAAAGGTACGACACAGGGAATATGGTCCATACTGTGATAACGCTATAAGGTGACAGAGGGTAACTACACTTGCCATGGTGAGCTCTGCGTAACATACAGAGTTGTCAAATCACCGTGTTGTATGCCTGAAACTAAGATAACTCTGCATTTCGACTACACTTCAATTTAAAAATGTTAAAAAAAAAAAAATACGGCTGCAATGTAAGTTTAAATCATCGGCAATTCCTCAAGGATCATACAAATCAGAGCAGCAAGACAGAAGGGAGGGACAAAGAAAGAAAAAGGGAGCCATCCCAAATGAAGAAATCACCGATTCCCTCCTTGCCAGAGTGGCCAGGCCTCAG